TTTGGAAGGTGTTGGTTGGGATGTAAATTATTCTTTTTTTCTTTTTAAAAATTATTCTGTTTTTAGAGAGAAATTTGGCAATGTCTATTGAAATGTAAAAAACATACTCTGAGCAATGTCAATTCTAGAATTCTATACAAAAATAACAGTATTTCAAATACAAAAATTTCAAAACAAAATAAGTGATTATCAATAAGTGAATGAGACATTCATTGAATGGAATGCTATGAAAGCATTATAAAGAATAGAGTGCCGCCCTGACTGGTTTGGCTCAATGGATAGAGTGTCAGCCTGCGGACTGAAGGGTCCCAGGTTCGATTCCGGTCAAGGGCACGTACCTTGGTTGTGGGCACATCCCCAGTAGGGAGTGTGCAGGAGGCAGCTGATCGATGTTTCTCTCTCATCGATGTTTCTAACTCTATCCCTCTCCCTTCCTCTCTGTAAAAAATCAGTAAAATATATTAAAAAAAAAAAAAAAAAGAATAGAGTGCCACCCTAGCCGATTTGGCTCAGCAGATAGAGCTTCGACCTCCGGACTGAAGGGTCCTGGGTTCAATTCCAGTCAAGGGCTCATGCCCGGGTTGTGGGCTGTGCAGGAGGTAGCCGATCAGTGATTCTCTCTCATCATTGATGTTTCTATCTCTCTTTCTCTTCCTCTCCCTTCCTCTCTGAAAAATCAGACAGAGGCCGAAACCAGGACCACAGGCTTTATCGGAGGAGAAGGACCTGCGGGCTGCCTCGCAAGGGGAGGACAGCAGCACGTGCAGGGTGGGCACGCCTTTTGAGGGGCGGAATGGGAAGGGGTGGGGGCTGAGTGTACTCGGCGCACACTGATTGGTGGCTCACTGCATGGTCCATATAGGACAAGGCTTAGGGTATTTGGCAGGTGTGGATGGGTGGTCCAATGTATAGTCCATACAAGGTACATGGTTAGTCACTCAGGTATTTCCGGGCTGCAGGTTACGTCATACTCCGTCCACCAGTTGGGGGAAGGGAGGATCTATCACTCTCTGAAATCAATAAAAATATGTTAAAGAAGCCCTGACCGGTTTGGCTCAGTGGATAGAGCGTCAGCCTGCGGACTGAAGGGTCCCGGGTTCGGTTCCGGTCAGGGGCATGTGCCTTGGTTGTGGGCACATCCCCAGTGGGGGGTGTGCAGGACGCAGCTGATCGATGTTTCTCTCTCATTGATGTTTCTAGCTCTCTATCCCTCTCCCTTCCTCTGTAGAAAATCATTAAAATATATATTTAAAAAAAAATATGTTAAAGAAAAGAAAAAACAGTAGAGTGCTCTGGCCGGCATGGCTCAGTGAACAGGGCGTCGGCCAGCTTACCAAAGGATCAAGGGTTCGATTTCTGGTCAAGGGCACATACCAGGTTCAATCCCCACCCTGACTGGGGAGCCAGCTGGAGGCAACCAATTGATGTGTTTCTCTCACATCGACGTTTCTCTGTCTCTCCCCCCTCCCCTGCTTTCCACTCTGGGAAGGCAATGGAGAAAAATGCCTCGGGTGGGGATTAACAACAACAACAGAATGGAGTAACTTCTTTTAAAAACAAGTATTTTTATTGATTTCAGAGAGGAAGCGATAGGGAGAAAAAGAGAGAAACATCTATGATGTGAGAGAATCATTGATCAGCTGCTTTCTGCACCCTCCCACTGGGGATCGAGCCCGAAACCTGGGCATGTGCCCTGACCGGGAATCGAACCATCAAACCACTGAGCCACGCCAGCAGGCCTGGAGTAACTTCTTATGAAACGTACCTTGGAAACTGTTTATGACATGCTAATTGCAAGAGCACATTGGAGAACAATAAGTACATTATGACCTCATTTCTGTGAAAATTAAAAAGTATGCACATGTCTGCATATAAGTTTACATCCACATAAGCATGAGAAGGTCTGATAGACAGGAACCAAAAGTGGTTTCCTCCAAAGGGTGGGATTCATGTCTTCCTTCGTTTGCTCATTCATTCATTCATTCATTCATTCATTCAGCCAATCATTCACTCATTCATTCTTCAGCCAATGTTTTTTGAGTGCTTACTACGTTCTAAGCACTGTTTAGGCACTGTGGATGTAACAACAAAGTGGACAAACCTCCCACCCTCAGGCAGCTTACAGACAATAAAGAAAGGGAGACAGACAATAAAGAAATAAACATCCAGTGTTTCAGGTGGTGACATGCTGTATGGAGAAAAATAAAGCAGAGGGGAGAAGGGTGGGCAGCTTGCAGTGTGAGATGGGGTGGATTGAAAGTGTAGAGGGAACATTTCACATCTTTATATAATTTTTTTAAATGGCAGGATTAATGTGTGTTTTCTTTCTTATTATGTGGTTGATTATTTTGTATAGTATAAGTAAACAGCATGACACAAGAATAAATGTCTTAACAGTGGAATTTCTGACCTGGGGGTAGGGCATAACATTTGAGACTGATGGAGTTTTTCCTCCCCCATCTTTGAAAAATCACCCCTACGTCTCCCTGAGAGGGGGAAGGAAAGCTACTGTGTGAAACCCCACCTCTTCCTCGCTTACTGGGCGTATTACCAGCACCTCCGTGGGGGTGTCGTTTGTGTTATTTCCCCCAAAGACTTGCTTTCTTTTTTTAAAAAAAATATATTTTGATTTCAGAGAGGAAGGGAGAGGGAGGGAGAGATAGAAACATCAATGATGAGAGAGAATCACTGATCGGCTGCCTCCTGCACGCCCCCCACTGGGGATCGAGCCCACAACCTGGGCATGTGCCCTGACCAGGAACAGGACCTCTCGGTTCCTGGGACGCTCAACCGCTGAGCTACACCCAGCTGGGCAAGACTTGCTTTCTTAATTATGTTAGCCTAAGGGCATTTAAACATTGGTTTGCATTTCTGAGTACAAACCGAAAGGGAAACCTGATAAAATGCAAATTGCTTATCTGTGTGAGGTAATCCCATTAATTCCACAATGACCCTTATTTTATTAGTTCTCCCCACGACAGAGCAAGGGACACATGCTAAGGGACAAAAGGTAAGAGTTTTGACGGCTATTAAAGTCAACCAAATTGATTGCAAGTTCTGAAACATAGGGACCAAGTCCACAAGAGGCTTTTTGAGTCCCTGTTTTGTGCAAGGTTTGTGATGTAAACTGGCGAGCCCTTCGAGTTCCTTTCAGTCGGTGTCTGGTTTCTCTGAGATGCTTAAGGAGAGTGGAAAGGAAGGGGGAGCGAGGCTATGTCACCTGCAGGCAGAATAAACGAAGTCTAGGCAGACCTGCCACGGCCAAGATTTAAAGTTAAACATGAGGAAGGACTCCGTTCTGGGAATCTGGCTGGGGATCTGCAGGAACAACCACCTGGTCTCCTCATTCTGGAACTGGCCCCGAGTGGCGCTGGGACTAGTTTGGGGAGTTAGTGGGAGCCAGATGCCTCTCCACAGTGGAACTTATCAGGAGCTTCTCTGGGTGTGCCTCTCTCCTTTCAACCAGCAATGTAACGGTGGGGAATTGTAACCCACCCCACCATTTTTTGACACTTTCTGTAAAAGCTGACTCTAATATGTACATAGCTTGTAGAGAAACAGCATGCTTGTATAAGAATCCTAGGAACTAACTTCAGAAGATGCAGACTCTGGCCTCCATTCATCCCAGTTCTGGGAGACTGGCTGATCTTCAACCATAGATGGAGGATGAGACAGAACCAGAATGATGTAGAACCAGATGACGCACATCAGACCATTACTTGACCAGTTTCAAGATCCTTACCGGAATGGACTGTGCTGGCCTGCACGCAGAGAACTTCTCAACCCCCTCCCCTTGATCTCTTTGTTCTGCATTGCCTCTCCTTATAAAGACCTCTGCCTGCACTGAGATGCAGAGATGGGCTTTGGGACGAGTCCCCCAGCACTCAAACCTCTTTCCTTTTTCACCAGCATCGGTCTCACGAGTTTGGTTTTCATGGTGCAGACAGCAGAACCTTGATTCCTGTTATAGTAACATCTCTTAACTTTCCTGTCCCCCAGTTGTATGGTTAATAATGGCCAGAGTTGTCTTTGCCACTCTTACCTTCTCTGGGAGGTTGAGAACACATGAGAGAAAGATTTTTGTTCTCTGTGTTAGCAAAACTAAAGCTCTTTGGAGTTATATTAGTAGCAACTCTTCTGCCAAATAGGGTGTGTGGAGAGGTTATACATTGTGTCACTCTTTTTCCTCTTAAACAGTCTCTTCAAATTAGTTAGGACAGATATTATTCCCACTTTGCAGATATGCAAACTGAGTCCATGCTCTGATGAAAGGATGGACAGTAGAAATTAGTCTCTTAACTCCGTGTCAGGTGCTCATTGATTTAATCAGAGCACAAGGCAGCCATTCTTCTTCTTCTTTTTTTTGGGGGGGGGGGGGTTGAGTGTTCTATGACCTTATATTCACATTTCTGTTGCTTATTAAAGGCTATGGGTTATTTATGATTAGTGTGTTGTTCACCTGATATTAATCACACTACTAAAAAATGATGAGCAGCCCTAACCGGTGTAGCTCAGGGGATAAAGTGTCGGCCTGCGGACTGAGGGTCCCAGGTTTGATTCCAGTCAAGGGCATGTACCTTGGTTGTGGGCACATCTCCAGGAGGAGGGTGTGCAGGAGGCAGCTGATCAGTGTTTATCTCTCATCGATCTTTCTACCTCTCCCTCTCCCTCTCTGTAAAAAATCAATAAAATATATATTTAAAAAAATGATGAGCAATAAATTCCCTTAGTTAATTTACGTTACTATAAATGCAGTGAATGCACCTTTGCTGCCTGGGAAGGAATTCCCCTCATATCTAAATTCAGAGCTTTCTCCCCTTGCGGAGCCACAGCGACCACCTTGGACTACATCTCCCATTGTGCAACGGGAAAGGTGCAGCACTCTTCCGTGAGCCGACAGGACACCTAACCAATCCAATGTCAGAGCTCTCATTCTGCGCCCTATTGGCTCCGGGTAGAGGCGGGACTCTCAGTTGCTACGTTGTTACCCTTACCGGAAGTGGCTGTGGGCCGCTGCAGGGCAACACCCCGGCGTCCCTGGAAGCGGGGAGCGGGGCAGCCGGGGTGGTGCTGGGAAGCTGTGCAGAGACGGGAGCCCTCGCCCGGAGCCTCCGCCTCGGGGACCGGTGAGGACGTCCTCGGAGGAGGGCTCGGGGGACCGGGAGAGGAGGGAGCGGGAGAGTCGAGGCACTCGGTGCCAACGAGCGGGTGTGCGCGAGCGTGGGCGGGAACTGCAGGAAGAAGGAGAAAGGCTGGCGGGCCGTGAGCCTCCGCCGGGACCCCCGAGCGGCGAGGGTCGGGCCGGGCGGGGCTGCGGCCGCCGGCGCGGGCGGCGAGAGCTGGCGGCGCTCGTAGACCTGGCCCCGCGGGTGTGACGGCCGCCTGCGGGCCTGGCGTGGGCGCCTCTCCTGTGGGCAGCTTCCTCGGGGCGACTCCAGGGTTAGCCAGACCCTTTCCCGCTTTACGGCAGCTGGGCAGCTGGGAAGTTAGAAAACTTTTGGTTTTCTTTTTTTTTTTTAACTTTCCTTGCATTGATTTCAAAAGATCTGCCTTCTTCTGCTGTCCTCGCTTGGCTTCCAAGATTCCGCTCCTGATTTTTTTCTTTAATCCTCATCCAAGGATATGTTTTTGTGGATTTTAGAGAGAAGGAAGGGGAGGAAGAGAGACAAATATTGATTGGAGAGAGAAAGAGCGAGAGCGAGAGCGAGAGCGAGAGACAGACATCAATTGGTTGCCTCCCAGGATTGACCCTGCAACCCAGGTATGTGCCCTGACTGGGAATCGCCCCTGCGACGAACCGGCAACCTTCCTAGGACTCGGGGCTCGCCTGGTTTTTCTGACACAGCCTTCCTCGGTTGCCTTTGCAGCCCCTCCATTCTACCCACCACAGGCAGCTGTGGGTGACTTCACCCAGGTTGGGTTACCATCTATTTAGTGGTGATTCCCACTAACTATGGCTCCAACCAGGCCTCTTTCCTGAGCTCAGATCTGCTCCTCTTGTTCTTCCTGGACGTCCCCATTCACGAGGCCCAGCTGCACTGGAATTCCTCTAATGCTTGCAGCAGACACTTGCTGGGAATTTCCTCTCCTCTAGGTGGTATGCTAGGTGCGCTGTTGGCAGGTGCAGAAATGACAAGGTAACCCTGAACAGGATACTGGCTTAAGTGCTCTGACTTCCCACCTCGCTCTCCCTCACTTGGTGTAGACGTCAAGCCCAGTAATTCTCCTAATTACCAGAGAATCTGGCCCTTCCTTCCCGTTCTCACAGCCACCACTTGAGTTCACAGTTTCTTGCCTGTGCTTTCAGGGTCACTTCCTCCGTGGACCCTCGGCCTCTGTTCTTGCCCTCCTCGAATCAGTGCTTACTACACAGCCGCCCTCCTTCCTCCCACCGTCCCTTGCGCTCTGGTCAGGCCGGAGTGGTTCGGGCTCAGGCTTTGGAATCGCGTGCATGTGGGTGTGCACATGTTTTGCTGTGCCTTTTACTAGGTGTGCCCCCTTGGACAAATTGTGTTTTATTTAAACCAGTGGTTCCCCACCTAAGCATCTCTAAAATCCTGATGTCCCCCCGTGACATACAATTCTTATTATTCAAAAAGTGAGCTCCTATTCACGTGCAGGAAGCCTAAAAGGCCATTAACTTGGTCTAAACAAGCTTCCAAAGAACATGACCTCCATGAGAGAGAAAAATCAAAGAACGAAAGGACAGTTGAAGTACTGAGGAAGACATCACTAAGAAATTGTTAAGAAAATAATAATATGAAGTGACATGAAAAAATAGCAAATAAAGTTTCAAAACATAATAGAGAACTAAAATGCATAAATATGTCACAGTATATTAATAAGACTGTATATGAAGCCCCTAGAACCATAAGAAATGCAAAAAATTCACCGTTAATAACTCATTCTCGAATTGCTCCCCTTAACAATCAAATTGCCCCCCTGTGGGGCATGTGCCCCATTGGGAACCACTCATTTAAACCTTGCTGAGACTCAGCTTCCTTATTTGAAAAATGGGGACAATACTCTCTTCCTAGGATAAGGTGAGATGATGTATGTAAGCATTAGCGCAGTTCTTGGAATGTAGGCAGGGTTCAGTGATTGTAAACTTTTGTTGTCACAATGAATTCTCTGCCCCCGTGTTCTTTCCTGCCCTGCCTTTGTGCACGCTGCTGCTGCCATACGTTCCCCTGCTCCCTCTCCTGGGCAGCTGCCGCTTATCCTGCAACCACCACTTCCATGGGCCTCATCTCCAGAGTAAGCTTAGTTGCCCTTTTGTGTCCCATTGTATTTTGTTACGTCCCTTAATGTGCTTAACATTTTACATGATCATGTGTAACCAGGTTGGTAGCCCTGACTGAGCACGGAGCTTGACCCAGGTTGGTGTTCAGAAGCTGGTTATTTAATGTCCGAATGGTTTTTTGTTGTTGTTGTTAATCCTCACCCGAGGATACTTTCCATTGATTCTTAGGGAGAGAGAGGGAGAGACAGAGAGAAACACTGATGTGAGAGAAACACATCGATTGGTTGCCTCCTGCACACGCCACGACCAGGGCCCAGGCTGGGGAGGAGCCTGTAACCGAGGTATGTGCCCTTGACTGGAATGGAACCTGGGACCCTTTGGTCCACAGGCTGACACTCTATCCCAGTGATGGCGAACCTTTTGAGCTCGGCGTGTCAGCATTTTGAAAAACCCTAACTTAACTCTGGTGCCGTGTCACATATAGAAAATTTTTGATATTTGCAACCATAGTAAAACAAAGACTTATATTTTTGATATTTATTTTATATATTTAAATGCCATTTAACAAAGAAAAATCAACCAAAAAAATGAGTTCGCATGTCACCTCTGACACGTGTGTCATAGGTTCGCCATCACTGCTCTATCCATTAAGCCAAACTGGCTAGGGCTAACTGGTCTTAATTGATACTCCCTCGTACTGGGTTTGTCTTCTGGAACAATGTAAAATAAGGCCTTTAGGAATGTGAATTGTACAAAATAGATCCAAGACATGGAAGCATGTTACGGACTAACGAATCTCAGAGGGAAGGGGGAGGGCATGAAGAGATTAACCAAAGATCTTATATGCATATATGCATAACCCATGAACATAGACATTAATGCTGTGAAGGCCTGGGGTGGGGACGAGAGCGGGGAGGAGGGGTCAGTGGGGGGAAAAGAGGGATATTTGTAATACCTTCAACAATAAAATTTTTTTTTTAAATACATTTTATTGATTTTTTACAGAGAGGAAGAGAGAGGGATAGAGAGTTAGAAACATCGATGAGAGATGTGAGAGACAAACATCGATCAGCTGCCTCCTGCACACCTCCTACTGGGGATGTGCCCGCAACCAAGGTACATGCCCTTGACTGGAATCGAACCTGGGACCTTTCAGTCCACAGGCTGACGCTCTATCCACTGAGCCAAACCGGTTAGGGCTAAAAAAATTTTAAAGAAGTGAATTTGTAATAACAACAACAACTGACAATTACTGAGATCTTAATATATTTTAAGTATTTTACATGTACTGAATCATATCTCTCCAACCCTTTGAGATAGATATTGTTATTATCCCCATTTTACAGATGAGGAAACTGAGGCAACTTGCCAGGTGGTAAGTGGTAGAGCTGAGATTAAATCCAAGAATGTCCTAAGACCTGTTCTTATTGCCACTGCATAATCAACTCTGTGTCTTCTGCTTCTCCCCAAAGCCTTCTCCAGTAATTTACTCCCCCCTGTGGTGAACTTTCTTTAAAATTGTGCAAGCAGGTCGGAATAAATATGCAGGAACTGTAATCGTGAGTGTGCGTGTGCGTGTGTGTATGTGTGTGTGTGCACGTGTGCGTGCTTTGTTAGTGTTCAGATGTACAAACTGTTGGCCATGCTTACAAATCAACAGCATTAGGAAGTTAACCAATGCCCAGGGGTGGGGAGTATACGTGCAATGAATGGAGGCTTAGTCTAGAGTAGAGAAGCCTGGGGTGCTCTCTAGGTCCAAAGGGCAGAACAGGCAAATGAGAGGAAACTTCCTAGGAAGTGATTTTTGGCTTAATATGGGCAAGACCTTTTCATAGTTAATCCTATATAATAAAAAGCTAATATGCAAATTGTCTCCTCGACCAAGAATTCAACCAGGGCGCAGGGCTGGCTGGCCAACCACCCACGGTCCCTCCCCCCAGCCAGCCCAGCCTGATTGGCCCTGATCAGGGTGGGCTGGCTGGACCCCACCTGTGCACGAATTTGTGCACTGTGCCTCTAGTCCAGTCGTGGGCAAACTACGGCCCGCGGGCCGGATCCGGCCCGTTTGAAATGAATAAAACTAAAAAAAAAAAAAAAGACCGTACCCTTTTATGTAATGATGTTTACTTTGAATTTATATTAGTTCACACAAACACTCCATCCATGCTTTTGTTCTGGCCCTCCGGTCCAGTTTAAGAACCCATTGTGGCCCTCGAGTCAAAAAGTTTGCCCACCCCTGCTCTAGTCCTATACACTATAATAAAAGCCTAATATGCTAAGTGTCCGACTGTTCGTTCAACCGTTCGACCAGTTGCTATGACGCGCACTGTCCACCAGCAGGCAGACGCTCCAACTGGTAGATTAGCTTGCTGCTGGGGTCTGGCCAATCAGGACTGGGCGAGACGGGCCGGACTCTCCCTGGAGCCCTCCCGCAGTCCCTCCCCAGCCCCGATTGTGCACCAGTGGGGTCCCTTGGCCTGGCTTGCACCCTCTTGCAATCCAGGACCCCTCAGGGGATGTTGGACTGCCAGTTTCGGCCCGATCCCCGCAGGCCAGGCTGAGTGATCCCACCAGTGCACAAATCTGTACACTGGGCCTCTATTCTTCTATATATATAAAAGCCTAAATGACTGTTCCGCTGGTAGCTATGACACACTCTGACCACCAGGGGACAGAGGCTCAATGCACAGGCATGGAAACATGGAACAGACTGATGAATCTCAGAGGGAAGGGGGTGGGGGGAGGGTGGGAAGAGATTAACCAAAGATCGTATATGCATACTAGAGGCATATTATTCTTAATATTTTATGAGAAGTATCTCATTTCATCCTCAGCCTTTTGATATTATCATGAGTTTCCATTATACACATGAGGTGAAGGGCCTTGCCTAATTTGCCTAAGTTCATACAGCCAGTAAGGAGAGAGCTGAATTCAGGTGTTTCTGGCCCTGAAGCCGGTCCTTGGACCACTGTGCTGTCTGTCACTTACAGCATAGAGAGGAAGATTTTGGCATGGGAGAAGTAGTTAGACCAAAGGTCTTATAGGTTTTTTGACTCTGAGATTCCTTGGCTCTATGTTAGTGGTTTATAGCAGACAGAGCTCCTACAGTTTATATACCTTATTTTGGGCTTGGTCAGAAATGCAGAGGAGGGAGGAGGCATGGCTCTCATAAGTTTGTGGTTAACAGGGAGGGGAACATATTCCCATGAACAAAGTAATATTAGGAGTAATATGCCTATGAACACATGAAAACTGTCCTTACTGCTGAGGAGGTTATGTGTTCATGGGAGTAGCTGAGGTTAGCCAGGGAGGGCTGCCTGGAGGAGGTACATGAGCCACTTTTTTTTCTTCTAGATTCTAGGATTGGCAGGAGATGGATGAGTGCGATTGGATGACCCCTCCCTGTGATTGTTATGGCCCATAGAGGGTCTCGGGCCTGGCGGCAAGTAGATCTCATCACATCTCATCTGGCCTGTTGCTGAGTGCTACGAGAGTGCATTATTGATGGTTCTGAAGCCATGTAGGCTGCTGTGATCGACAGTCTCAGACTTGGAAGGAAATGTTAGGACATGTGCCATGTACTTGCAGTAGCAGATCTCAGGCTGCTATCTTAGACATCTCATCTTCCCTGTTACCCCTGGAGTCCAGGTTATCACGATCTCTCACCTACACTAGCTCACCGTTTCTTATTAATCTCTCTGCAGCCACTTGGATTTTCTCCCTTTTGATCTGGCTTCCATTCCGTCTGCATTCCCAGTGGCTGCCAGAGTGATCTTTCAAAAGGTATATCTAAAAAAAACGTTTCCTCCTGGCTTTCTTATTATGAAGGCCAACTTCTTGGCATGGCGTGGCTTCCACCCATGTCCCCAGCAGCGTCGGCAGCCATGCTGCTTCTTGCTTGGTGTGATTTCCTGTTGCAGGGCCTTTGCACGTGCTGCTGCTTCTGTGGGAACACCTTTTCCACTTTGTCCAGTGAATACGTACCTTCAGTCCTCAGCATAGGCTAACGTCAGGCTCTTTTCCTCCAAAGCTCGACCTCGTTTGTAATTGTACATTTATCTGTGACTTTGGGATGTTTGTCACCCTCCTTCTTGAGGCCATAGACAAGGGGAGTAGCAGCAGAACGGCTTTTCTCACCATTACATCTCTAGTGCACAGCCATAAGTAAACGCAGCTCCTTGCATAGTGCTCGCATGAGTAAATGGCCTCTGGTAGCCGTTAAATGAATATGGTTTCTCTCCCGCCACCTCCCTCAGTCCGATAGTTCCTGCTCTTTTGGCCCTGTCCCTGCCCACTCTTTATTGGAGCTAGGCAAGGTGAGGAAAGAAGGTAGAATATAACCCACACTTTTAAAAAAATTTTCTGGCAGGTTCGTTTGACAGGTAAGTGATCCATGAGTTCAGATTTCCAGGACCTTTCCGACATTTAAATAGCTTAACATGGATAACTATGTCCATAGCTAATTAGGCACTTCGCTGCAAGGACAGATTGCATCTGCTGTGCTTTCTAGAGATGGGATGTGTCCAGGGGTGGTACCATTTCTCAGATGCAGGATTTGTCTGAGTAGCTGACACAAGGCCTGTATAGATCACCGCCTGCTGGAGTGACTAATTCTCAGCCTGATGTTCAGGCCGCCCTTGGTTCCTCCCTCCCAGAGATCTTCCCTCTCCCTCTCCTCCCAACCCCGAGGATTAGATCCTTAAGCCCCAGACAGTGGCCATGTGCGCTGCTCTTGGTCTTTCTGGCTCTGCCTTTGCAGAGTCCGTGTGTGTCGAGTCTGGAGCGCGAGGTCCGCAAGGCGTCCTTGGGTTCCTGTGGCAGAGGCCATATTCCCGCGGGGCCCATGCCTGCAGAGGGAGAAGATGCTGCTTCATCAGCCTGCCTTCCTGCCATGCTGCTCCATGGTGCCGTGGGAGCGAGAGGTGGCAGAGATTGCTCCCTGTGCGTCCTGAGGCCAGACACCTCTCCTGTCCATTCCTCAGCTGTCAGGCTGCAGAGGGGGCCTCGGTAACGGCCCCTCATGGGTCCCATGCCGTGGATCAGGGTCCCTCTCTGGGAATCTTGGAGCAGATTCAGAAGGACCAGGCCTGGCCGTTTCCTGGCATGCGGTGCAGGCTGCTCCCAGCCCCGTGCACACAGCTTTTCCTGCTCCCAGGGGTGTCCTGCTCACTCCTCTGCGACAGTGGCAGCGCTGGAGAGGTCAGGACCTGCTCCTCAGACTGCTGTTGGTTGCAGCTGTGGCTGGCGCCTCCTCAGGGGGGGACAGTCAGGGCTGCGGCAGCTACTCTACAGGGCGCTTGTCTCTGTGTTACTGGGCGTCAGCGTAGGTGCTGCCGTCCGGGAGGATGGCCTGGCCTTGGAGTCCAAGGTGGTTACAGGGACAGGAAAGGAGCAGTTCCAGAATGGCACCAGCTTGTCCGTTGGAGAATTTGGCACCGTCCCGCCCCCAAAGCTAGAAACCGTGGATTCCAGTTGGACTCCTTTCCCCCTTTCCTCTCATCCTAGTCCTGTTAACATCAACGCAGCCCTCACATCTGTTCCTCTCCATTCCCGCTGCTTCTGCCCTCGTTCAGGCCCCTCACCTGGATGGCAGCCGCCTCAGTGGTTTCTGGAGCCCAGTCTCCTTTCTCTAATCCAGCCCTGCCACTCCTGCCAGGGCTGTCACCCTAAAGAAAGGCCACCGTGTCACTTTCTGTCACTGAAGCCCGCAGGGACCCTGCCTCCTTTGCTACGGGGCAGAGTCAAGGCTCTTATACACGGTCTACCCAGCTTTCCACCGCTGCCCCCGCCGCACTGGTGCAGCCCCCGTGGCTGGTGCCCAGCTCCAGAGCCGGCCTGTGCGTGGTGCTCCCGCACCTGACACAGCTCTCCACTCTCCTCCAGTGCTCAGAGCAGGCGTGCTTTCCCTCCGCCCGGCACTGCTATTGAGGTTGAGTGCACTAGCTTCACTAGAGGGTGAGCTCCCCGAGGCACTGTTGGGTGTAAATAGGGGCCTTGTTGAGACGGTGTGACCATGGGGGGCTGCTGGTGCTGGCGGGTGTGTGTGGGGCTGTGTGCGTGTGTGCTGTTGGTTATTTTGATCACTAGGGTTTTCCAGCCGGGGCTACTGTGCTATTCGTTCTTTCTCCATTTGAGGGGTAGGAAGCCAACCTCTTGAGTCGGGTTCTCAGATCTTTTGTGGTCACCGAGGGTCCAGCAAGCCCGGGGGAGATGTGTCTCAGGAAACTTTCCCGGGCACAGAGCCGGGAGGCCCGGGTTCCCCCAGCGTCTGGCACATTCCCAGCGAGGTTGGCTTGCAGGGTCTGGTTGGACCTAGGGGCCCCATGACGCAGCTCTGACTGTCTCATCTAAGCTGGACACTCATTCTCTCTTTGCGGGGGTCTCTGGGGTCTAGGCCTGGAGCCCAGACCAGCCATGGCTGGAAGACCCATCCGCATAGGAGACCAGCTGGTCCTGGAGGAAGACTATGATGAGACCTACATCCCCAGTGAGCAAGGTAAGAGGCCTGGCATGTGCTGCAATAGTTCTTCCAGGGCAGGAATCAGCTCTGACTTAATTTCATTCTTCTGAGGCAAAGAGGGTATATACACAGGGCTGCTCAGTCTGTTTGGCTTAGAACAGGGTTGGTAAACTATAGCCCATAGGCCTAATCCGGTCTGTTGCTTGCTTTAAAAAAAATTTTTTTTTACTTTAAAGATATTTTTATTGATTTGAGAGAGGAAGGGAGAGGGAGAGAGAGAGAGGGGAATATCAATGATGAGCATGACTGGCCTGGCTCAGTGTTGAGCGTCGACCTATGAACTAGGATATCAAGGTTTGATTCCCGGTCAGGGCATATGCCCTAGTTGCGGGCTCGGTCCCCACTGTGGGGCTTGCAGGAGACAGCCAATCAGTGATTCTCTCTCATCATTGATGTTTCTGTCTCTTTCTCCCTCTCCTTTCCTCTCTGAAATCAATAAAACAAAAACCAAAAAAACACAAAAAATCTCCTTTAATAAAAAAAAATCAATGATGAGAGAGAATCTTTGATCGGCTGCTTCCTGCACTTTCTGCACGCCCCGTACTGGGGCTCATGCCCTGACCAGGAACTGAACCATGACCTCCTGGTTCATAGGTTGATGCTTAACCACTGAGCCATGCTGGCTGGGCCTGTTGCTTGTCCATGTATAATCTGTGGCTGCTTTCCTGCTGCAAGGGCATTGTTGAGAAGTTGTGACAGAAAGCATGTGACCCACAAGCCTAAAATATTCACCGTCTGACCCTTTACAGAAAAAGTGTGCCAACCTTGGATTAGACCAGTGGTTAGTTTTAAATGAAAATACAGTAGGGGGTATTATGAGATGCAGTGTGTGCTGAGGCCAGGGAAACCCAATTTCTTAAGAACAAACTAAAGCCGTGTTTTTCTTTAAACAACAGCAATAACATTAATATTGATGAAAACAAAATTCTATGTGCCATTCTCTGTAGTAAGAACTCTCTATATACTTGCTCATAGTAAGTCGTGGGTTAGGAACTTTCATTATTTCCATTTTAAAATTGAAGAAGCCAAGTCGCAGAAAGGTTAAGTGACTTCTCTGCAGTCACACAGTTCTACTCAGTGAACTGGGAATCCATGCCCAGTGTCCCCTCTCATCCACGCCATGGTGACTGCACAGGAGGCACTCCAAACCGGCTGTGAAATCAGTGACTCCAGTGGCCCCTTGGCTGCCGCATTCCAGCTGGGCCTTTGAAAAAGTTCTTTTGTTTCCTAATCCCCAGGTATGTCACCCTCCAAACTCTCCACCGAGGTGACCCATATTGCGAGGCCTCTCTGGCCAGGGTTGGTGTCAGCTCAAGCACTGCTGCCCCTGGAGCATTGATTTGTTCTTCCTGGGGCTCTGGTGACGTACTCCGTGGTTACCTCATGTACCTTTTTTTCCTTCTCGGTGAGATAGCCCCTAACTCAGTCCCTGTGCCTCCTGTATTCCTCCAGCTCTCTGGCAAGAGAGCATTTCTAAATGTTTGAAAACATTTTTTTTAAATTTGATTTTGAGAGAGAGAGAGGAAGGGAGGGAGGGAGGGAAGGGAGCAGAGAGAGAGAGAGAGAGAGAGAGAGAGAGAGAAAGAAACATTGATTGTGAGAAACATTGATTGGTTGATTCCTTCACATGCCCTGACCATCCGACCAGAGTGACCCCGCAACCTAGGCATGGGCCCTGACTGGGAATCAAGCTGCCACCTTTGATGCATGGGGTGTCGCACCAGCCCGCTGACACACAGGCCAGGGCTCTAAATTCATGATTCCAAAAGAGCACAACAGGAGTGTTAGCGTTCGCAGCATAACGCACAGCTGAAGAGACACCTCCTTCACGGGAGAGGCTCAGTGGGTGGGAGGAGGCTGCCTGCTCATCATCCCGCCCCCTCACCGCCTCGGATCCAGCCTCTGCTCCTGTGGCTCTGGGGCACCTCTCCCCACAGTGCTTCTCCCCGCCGCACCTCTCCCGCAGCACCTTGCCCCGCGGCACCTCTCCCCGCAACACCGCTCCCCCCAACACCTCTCCCCGCAGCACCTCTCCCCACAACACCTCTCCCCGCAGCACCTCTCCCCTCTCCCCGCGGCACCTCTCCCCACAACACCTCTCCCCGAAACACCTCTCCCCGCAACACCTCTCCCCACAACACCTCCCCCACAGCACCTCCCCCCGCAGCACCTCTCCCCACACTGCTCCCCACAACACCTCTCCCCACAACACCTCTCCCCGCACCACCTCTCCCCACAACACCTCTCCCCGCACCACCTCTCCCCGCACCACCTCTCCCCGCACCACCTCTCCCCACAACACCTCTCCCCGCACCACCTCTCCCCACAACACCTCTCCCCGCACCACCTCTCCCCACAACACCTCTCCCCACAACACCTCTCCCCGCACCACCTCTCCCCGCAACACCTCTCCCCATAACACCTCTCCCCGCACCACCTCTCCCCGCACCACCTCTCCCCGCAACACCTCTCCCCACAACACCTCTCCCCGCACCACCTCTCCCCGCACCACCTCTCCCCACAACACCTCTCCCCACAGAACCGTTCCCCACGGCACCTCTCCCCACGGCACCTCTCCCCACACCACCTCTCCCCACAGAACCGTTCCCCACAGCACCTCTCCCCACAACACCTCTCCCCACAGCACCGTTCCCCACAGCACCTCTCCCCACAGCACCTCTCCCCACAACACCTCTCCCCACAGCACCTCTCCCCGCACCACCTCTCCCCACACCTCTCCCCACAACACCTCTCCCCACACCTCTCCCCACGGCACCTCTCCCCACACCTCTCCCCGCAACACCTCTCCCCACGGCACCTCTCCCCACAACACCTCTCCCCACACCTCCTCTCCCCACAACACCTCTCCCCACAACACCTCTCCCACAACACCTCTCCCCACAGCACCTCTCCCCACACCTCTCCCCACGGCACCTCTCCCCACAACACCTCTCCCCACAACACCTCTCCCCACAACACCTCTCCCCGCGGCACCTCTCCCCACGGCACCTCTCCCCACGGCACCTCTCCCCACACCTCTCCCCGCGGCACCTCTCCCCACGGCACCTCTCCCCACAACACCTCTCCCCGCGGCACCTCTCCCCACGGCACCTCTCCCCACGGCACCTCTCCCCACACCTCTCCCCACGGCACCTCTCCCCACGGCACCTCTCCCCACGGCACCTCTCCCCACAACACCTCTCCCCACAGCACCTCTCCCCACAGCACCTCTCCCCACGGCACCTCTCCCCACGGCACCTCTCCCCACAACACCTCTCCCCACAACACCTCTCCCCACAACACCTCTCCCCACAACACCTCTCCCCACAGCACCTCTCCCCACAGCACCTCTCCCCACGGCACCTCTCCCCACAGCACCTCTCCCCACAGCACCTCTCCCCACACCTCTCCCCACGGCACCTCTCCCCACAACACCTCTCCCCGCAACACCTCTCCCCACAACACCTCTCCCCGCGGCACCTCTCCCCACGGCACCTCTCCCCACGGCACCTCTCCCCACGGCACCTCTCCCCACACCTCTCCCCGCGGCACCTCTCCCCACAACACCTCTCCCCACAACACCTCTCCCCACGGCACCTCTCCCCACGGCACCTCTCCCCACAACACCTCTCCCTACACCTCTCCCCGCGGCACCTCTCCCCACAACACCTCTCCCCACAACACCTCTCCCCACGGCACCTCTCCCCACGGCACCTCTCCCCACAACACCTCTCCCCACACCTCTCCCCACGGCACCTCTCCCCACACCACCTCTCCCCGCACCACCTCTCCCCGCAGCACCTGCCACCTGCTTGTACTCAGTCGTGTATTGGTCAGGTCTCCAAGGGGCTCATTCGCTGGTCCTTTTTCAGTCCAGGCCTGTGTGAGTGGTGAGGACTTTTGCATTAAGGTTTTGCAGGTTTGGTAGAGCTTGGGTCCTGGGAAGGCTGCCCTGGTTCAGGATGGTCTGGTTGTTCTTCTTGAGCCCACACTGAAGTTCTGGTCTTATTTTCTTTGCCTTTAACGTGGCTTCAGATTATATTCCTGGAGTATGGTAACAGCATGCCTGGATTCAGATGACCCTTTATAACTGTAACTTAAGAAAATCACATATTTATTATGTAGAACTAATAACTGCTCCCTGAAGGGAATTGGAAAGTAAAGGCAGAGTGGAAAAGTTTGGGGAGAAACCCTGCTTTTCTTTTTCTGACCTCCATGCTTCCGACACCAGCTCCCTGGGGTTTCCCCTCCCAGCCATCTCCCTGGCAGCGGGATGTCCCGCTGTCCGTCCAGTCCTGACACTGTCTGCCTGGGGTTAGGGTCAGCCCCGCAGGTCAAGGCTCATTCCCACAAGACTCCCCCCCCCCAACACCAGACACTAATCCAAAGTTCCCAGGGGTCCCGGTTCTGTGGGTATGTCAGCTGTACACCGACCACAGTTCCCACCACCCTGTCCTCAGGTTTAATGACTTGCCAGAACAGGTCACAAAACTCAGGGAAACACTTATGTGTGCAGTTTGTTATATAATAAAGGGTATGGTAACGGGTGTGGTGGACAGCCAGATGAAGAGAGACACGGAGAGCTCTGGGAGGGTCCCCAGTGCGGGAGCGCTGTCCCGTGGAGTTGGGGTGTGCCGTCTTCCTGGCACGTGCGTGGTTCCTGGGAGCTCTGGCTGGGGATTTTTATGGAGCCTTCATCATGTAGACATGATCCATGAACTCATGTCCTATCCCTCTCCCCTCTCTGGAGAATGGGGGTGAGCCTCAGAGTTCCAAGCTTCTAATCATGGCTTGGCCTCTGGTGACCAGCCCCATCCAGGGCCACTAGAGTCTAGCCAGAGTCTCCTCATTGGGCAGAAGAGCTCCTAGGACTCGGGAGATTGCAAGGGTTTTAGAAGCTGTTTCACGACCTGGGGGCAGAGACCAGCATATATATTTCTTATTATTTCACACGTGATTGTGACTTGCTTTTCTTTTCACCCACCTCTCCACCTCTCTTACTTTTCTACCCTCCTGCTTCTCCTTGCAGAAATCTTTGAATTTGCCAGAGAGATAGGTATTGATCCCATCAAGGAGCCGGAGCTGATGTGGCTGGCCCGGGAGGGCATTGTGGCCCCCCTGCCTCATCAGTGGAAGCCATGGTAAGTGAGCACGCTGTGGCCCAGAGGTGCCACCAGAGGCGGAGGAGCCTGGCATTGGAGGTCAGCGCTCACCAGCCGCCTTCCATAGCCTGTCCTGCCCCGAGGACAGGGGAAGCAATGGGCCACTCCTCCGCTGGGCAGCCTGATGCCGGGGCCGGGGCATAGGCTGACTTGATGGTCCCGTTTGTAGAATAACGGTTTCTGAGCTGTGGCCCTGTCAGCTCCTTGAGCCCAGCATCGTGCGGGTACACAGCCGTGTCTGTTGCTCCTTGCAGACCGACGTGGAGACCCGTCAGCATGTCCACGTGGTGCTGGTGCTGCGAGGTCTGCACTGAGGCTCAGGCCGGCAGGGGTCTCACCTCCCTTGGCAGCCCATCCCCACATTTGAGTGGTGTCTTCAGGAACACGCTCATGTTCACGGGATCATTCATATTTTCGGGTGCAGCTCTTCGGATAGTGAGGAGCAGAGACTCAGGGTGCCTCGGGGGAGCAGGTGGAGGGTGCGGAAACAGACTGGCCGCTCTCCTGAGGCTGTGCCCTCCCCGCTCTCTGCCGACCTGTTTCTGCTCTGCAGGTCCCCTCTGCCCTGCAGTGCACAGGGCTCCCCCCAGGCTGCCTCCCCAAGTGGGTGCCCTACCTTTACTTCCTGCGGCAGCGCGGGATTGCCCTACGCTTGTCCTGCCCTGTCCCCAGGTGGCTGAGGGGTCCTCGCTGATGCTGGGCTTGTGTGAGGGTTAATCATTCTGCTCTTTCTCTTTTTTTAAAAATATATTTTTTATTGACTTCAGAGAGGAAGAGAGAGGGAGAGAGAGATAGAAACATCAGTGATGAGAGAGACTCATGGATCGGCTGCCTCCTGCACGCCCCCTACTGGGGGCCGAGCCACAACCTGGGCCTGTGCCCTTGGCCGGAATCGAGCCCAGGACCCTTCAGTCCGCAGGACCACGCTCTATCCACTGAGCCACACCAGCCAGGGCCGTCCTGTTCTTATCCATCCGTTTAATGTGTTGGCTTCAGAATGACTATAATGTCAGCCTCGCTCATCTCCGCTGAAGAATCAGAACCCTTTAGCTTCTTACCTGGCAGTCTCCTATCCTCTGGATCTTTTTAGTGGCCTTTCTTTTGACTTCTCCAGCTTCCTGACGTCTTTCTTTTTCCTTTTTTTACATTTTTCCAACAAGTATTTGTTATTAGTTAAGCCATGATTCAGGATCCTAGGGTGGGATGTACCCAGGCCCCCCTTCACGTCCCTGGGAGAAGGATGGAGGATGCCCAGTTCAGATCTTCCCAGGAAACGTGCCTTCTGCCCGGCGGTCATCCCAGGCCGAAACCCAGGATAAGGGGCACAGGGACTTGTACGCACACCGGTACCATTCACACACGGAGGCACCACCCCCTTCAGCAGTCATTGCCTTCTCACAGCGGTGGAAGTCCAGTAGTTCTGCCAACAGTTCCTGGTCTGGTTCTGGTTGGGGAAGCGGCTGTCAAAAGGAGCAGTCGGTAGTTCTTGATTTTGGTCTGGATGCCTTCTGCCATGTTGCTGATTCCTAAAGACGCCCCTGAAGCCGCTCGCAGCTCAGTGTGACCTCAGCAAAGAGCACCTGACATCTTTCTTGTAGTTAGTCCTTCAGCACCGCACACTGTATTCCAGGAGCTGGGGACTCATGGTCGTGTTTGTAGAATAACGGTTTCTGTTTTGTTTCCAATATCCACCCTGATATTCACAGTTGCCTTATCTAATAGCTTCTATTTTCTTTTTTCTCTCTGTTTTTAACTTTGTATGTATCTATGTTTTGCTTTTGGATATTTTTTTTAATGAAAAGCTATAAGAGAAATAGAATCAGTATAACAGCACCTTCATGTACACATATGTAATAAATAAATGGCTGCAGTGATGTTGAAGAAAGGTGGATGGAAGGAAGGAAACTGACACTGTTTAAGGGCCAGCTGTGTGCCAGGTGTGTGTCAGCTGCCTTCACACACCTGCTAGAGTTGGTAGCACTCCCTTGTCCTGTGAGGACAGTACGAAGTGTTTCTCACTTTTAAAAATAACAAAAGTCACTAAAACTTAACATCTATGTGTCCTCTTTGATCCTTGCTCCCAATCCCAAGAGTGACTTGGTGAATTCCTCCCAGACCTTTACAACAGACAGAGCCCCCACTCCCCCCGTTTTGTGTTTTAGACGTACGTGCTGTACTGTACACTGCTCTTCTGTGTCCGAGTGTGAGAGTCCCCCTCAGCCTCTTGCCCCTGTGAGCTTTTCCACGCAGAGATGGATCATAACGAAAAAATCCTCATTTACTTAACCGCTTGTACTGAAGGATGTTTAGACTTCTTTCCAAATTGACTGTTTTGCATGGGTCTGTTTCTGGGTTGTTTGCTATCTTCCATTTAGTTCTTTGTCTGCCTTTATGCCAGTGTCATGTAGCTTTATTAGAAATATTGAAATTGTTTAGGGTAAATATGCCAAATTTGTCCTCCATTTTCAAAGTTATAGGTTCTTTGCATTTCCATATGAATTTTAGAATCAGGTTGCCATTTTGTAAAAAAAAAATCACTTTAGGATTTGATTGGGTTTGCATTGAATCTGTAAATCGATTTTGGGGGAATTGACATCTAAAACAAGATTGCGTCTTCCAACCCATTGAGTCTATTTAGTTTTCCTTTAATAACACCAAGATAGGTTTTTTAGTATAATTCTTGCCCACATTTTGTTAGATTTATTCCTAAAGAGTTCATATTTTTGATGTTTCTGTAAATGGCATCTTTAAGATTTTAATTTCCAAGTTGCTGTCATACAGAATTAAAGTTGGTTTTTGTATATTGATTTTGCAAACTTACTAAATTTACTTATGTCAGTTCTAATAGCTTTTTTGTAGATTCCATGGGACTTTCTACATAGATGACCACGTCTTTTGGGAATAAAGACATTTTTACTTCTTCCTTTCCAATCTGGACACTTTTTTAATATCTACTTCTTGTCTTACTGTGCTGACTAGAGCCTCTAGTACAGCTGAGTGGAAGTGGCGACAACGGACCTTTCTGCCTTGTTCATTAGGGAAAGCGGGCAGCCTTTCACCGGGCGTGTGATGTTGGTATTTGTTGTGGTCAGTACCCTTGGTCAGGATGAGGACGTTTCCTCTATTCCTAGCTTGCTGAGAGTTTAAATCAGAAATGGATATTGGATTTTATAAAATGCTTTTTTCTGCCTTGTATTGATAGGATCATAGGAGTTTTCTATTTTGGTCTATTAATTATATTGATTGATTTTTCAGATGTTCAACTGACCTTACATTCCTGGGATAAAGTCTGCTTGGTACATAAATATATGTTAGTTGATTTGGTTTTCTGAAATTTTGTTAAATATCATTGCTCCAAAATAATAGTTTGAAGGGAATGAGGTAGACAGAGTTTGGGTATATTTTATTACTGATTTCCAATTTTATTTATTCATTATAGTCTTTGTTATAAGTTGAGATTTCTTTTGTGGCTCAGTAAGTGATCCTATTTATGTAAATTTTCTGTGTGTGCTTGATAGAAATGTCATCTCTCATTTTTGGATACAGGGTTCTAGACATGTCCTTCATATATATCAAGCATGCTAAGTGTGTTTATATCTTCCTATGTCTTCATGCATTTTTGTCTGGTGTCACTCTTGAAAGATAGTTTCATTGGATATAGAATTGTTTGTTGAATATGAACAACCCTTTGACAATATTATGCACCATCATCTTCTGGCTTCTGATTTTTCGAATAACACATCTTTATTTGGTCTAATTTGTTGTTCCTTTGTAGGCAATCATGTTTTTACATGGTTGTTTTCATTGGTTTTTTTTAACTTTGGTGTTCTGTGATTCACGACAGTGTACCTAAGTATGGATATACTTTTAATTACCATGTTCAGGATTGGGAGTGCTCTCTTACTCTGAGGGCTCATGCCTCTCTTCAATTTTGGGATATTCTCAACCATATCACTTTTCTGGAACTCTTACTAGAAGTATATTGGACCTTTCTTTTTATCCTCTGTGTCTCTTCTGTCTCATATTTTATTTTTTGATGAAGCCTGAAAATGGCTAGTCTGTTTTTTCAATGTAAATTCTTTATTGTCTGCAGTATTACATGTATCTCCTTTTCCCACCATTGACCTCTCCCCAGCCGCTCCCACTCCCCATCTGTTTCATATTTTAAAGATTATTTATATCTTGCATGCTGCATTCTGGATAATTTCCTTTGGCATGTTTTTAATTCACTATTTGTTTCTTTTTCTATGTTAAATTTATTGTTTCAACTACCTGTTTTTTTTAAAATTTTAATTTAATTTAATTGTTGACAGTATTACAAATGTCTTTCATTTTCTCCCTTTTTGCCTCCCTCCACCCTATCTACTTGTTTTTTAAAAAATATAATGATTTGCTCTAGCCCGTTTAGCTCAGTGGATAGAGTGGATAGAGCCTGCTGACTGAAGGATCCCAGGTTCGATTCCAGTCAAGTTCGTGTACCTTGTTTGCAGGCTCCTCCCTGGCCCAGGCTCTGGTCGGGCCTCATGCAGGAGGCAGCTAATCGATGTGTTTCTCTCACATTGATGTTTCTCTCTGTCTCTCTCTTCCACTCTCTCTAAAAAAAGAAAAATCAATGGAAAAATATCCTCGGGTGAGGATTAAAAAAATATATATATATCCTAAGTAATAAAGATGTAATATGCAAATGGTGTTATGCCGTGAAGTGTAACAACCGAACGCATAACGACCGGATCACGGATCAGCAGGGGGGTGGGGCAGTGAGCTACAGTGGGTGGAGGAGAGCTACAGGAGCGGGTAGGGCAGCAAGCTTTCGGGGGGCAGAGGGAGCTACAGGAGGGCGGGGCAGCGGGCAGAGAGCTATAGAAGGGCGGCAGCGAGCTACTAGCTACAAGCAGTCGGCGGAGAGCTACAGGAGGGGGCAGGGCAGCAAGCTATGAGAGGGGGCGGGGGTGAGGGGGAGTAGGGGGAGCTACAGGAGG